TATTTGTGGTTTATGGGGACTCTCCATAGGCGGAATGGTTTTTATACTGTACAAACTGTATTTTCTATCACCCTACACCTAAACCTACCCCTCACAGAAAACTACTGGCAACTTTTGAATTTCATAAAACACCGTTTTGTATGTTTATTTAAGCCACAGGAAGTGTCCTCATAAACCATGTTTATGTTGTAGTACCCATGACATTATACACATTTGTGTCCTCATAAACCATATATACCAGTACACACACACACACACACACACATAAATAAATAAATATGAATATGAATGTAAATATAAATAATCTGCTGTAGAATCCAAGGCCACTAGGAGCGTACTACAACCTTTAGAACATGGGGAAAAAAGGCTTTTGGTAAATTAGTTTTTAATGAAAATATTTGTGTGCTGTACATACAGTAAGGGTGTTATTGTGAAAATTTAACCTGTAGTAAGTCAGTCTGGTCACTACGAATGTACTGCAACCTTTGGGACATAAAAAAAAACACTTTTGGTGAATTTCAGTATTTTTTTTCTAAGAATAATTATGTACTGTATGTACAGTGAGGGAGATATTGGCAATATTTCACCTGTAGTAAGTCAGTCTTGTAACTACAAACGTACTATAACCTTTGGAACATAAAAAAAAACGCTTATGGTGAATTACAGTAATTGTTATCTAAGAATAATTATGTATTGTATGTACCGTAAGAAAGAAATTGGCTAAATTTCAGCTGTAGTAAGTCAGTCTGGCCACTAGGAATGTACTATAGCATTTGGAACATGAAAAAACCCTTTTGGTGAATTACAGTAATTGTTTTCTAAGAATAATTATGTACTGTACGTACAGTAAGGGAGATATTGGCAAAATCTCACCTGTAGTAAGTCAGTCTCGTAACTTCAAATGTACTACAGCCTTTGGAACGTGAAAAAAAACGCTTATGGTGAATTACAGTAATTGTTATCTAAGAATAATTATGTATTGTATGTACCGTAAGAAAGAAATTGGCTAAATTTCAGCTGTAGTAAGTCAGTCTGGCCACTAGGAATGTACTATAGCATTTGGAACATGAAAAAACCCTTTTGGTGAATTACAGTAATTGTTTTCTAAGAATAATTATGTACTGTACATACAGTAAGAAAGAAATTGGCAAAATGTCACCTGTAGTAAGTCAGTCTTGTAACTACAAATGTACTACAAC